AGTATGTTATTGGAAGTTTTTGTAGCTTAACAGAATGGTTTGGGATTCCATTAGCAGTAGAAAAGATGCTGGGACCAGTGACAAGTCTTCAATTCTTAGGGATAACAACTGATTCAGTGGCTTTTGTATGTAAGCTACCGACAGAAAAGGGTGCTAAGCTAAAAGAAAAATTTATTTTTCTTAGCAAGCAAAAAAATAAATAAAAATAACAGTAAAAGAGTTTAATTCTTTACTAGGCCTATTGGCGTTTGCAAGTCATATTATGCCTATAGGAAGAATATTTGTAGGTGAATAGTGCTGGCTTGCACCAAGAAAAAATCTGTTTATTGTTTCGTAAGAATTTCTGCTGAAATTAAAAGGATTTAAAAGTATGGAAAAAGTTCCTGCAGCAGTACAATGGTTGTTCATTACTGCAATCAGAACTTCAGAATAATGAAAATCTGGATTTATTTGTCGATGCTGCAGGGTCAGTGGGTTTTGGCATATTCTGGAACCAAAAAATGGCCTTTTCACAGTGGCCAGAGGAATGGATAGAGCAAGGATTAACCAAGAATTTAGCCTTGTTGGAATTGTTTCCAATTGTAACAGCAATCTTGGTATGGGGAAAAGAGTTACAAAATAAATGAATATTATTCCACTTTGACAATGTCAGTGGTACAGGCAGTGATGTATCCTGGTTTTGTGCTGCCCTAGGCATGACAAAACTCAAGCGCCCCCCTCACCCCCCAAACCACCCCACCCACCCCCCAAACCACCCCACCCTTCCCCCCTGCCCCGCCTTCTATATACACACACATTCACTGACAGACACGCATACACAAGCTAACAGACATACACACTCACTAACAGACACATACAGTCACTAGCAGACACATATGTTCACTAACAGACACGCATACACTCTCTCACTAACAGACACACACATAGTAACACACTTCCTGACATACACACACTCACTGACAGACACACACTCACACTCACTGACAGACACACACTCACACACACTAACAGACACATACACACTCAATAACAGACACATACAGTCACTAGCAGACACATACAGTCACTAGTAGACACACATGTTCACTAACAGACACACATACACTCTCACTAACAGACACACACATAGTAACACACTCCCTAACAGACACACTCCCTGACATACACACACTCACTGACAGACACTCACTCACTCACTCACTCACACTCACTGACAGACACACACTCACACACACTAGCAGACACATACACACTCACTAACAGACACATACAGTCACTAGCAGACACACATGTTCACTAACAGACACACATACACTTTCACTACCAGACACACACATAGTAACACACTCCCTAACAGACACACTCCCTGACATACACACACTCACTGACAGACACACACACTCACACTCACTGAAAGACACACACTCACACTCACTGACAGACACACACTCAAAATAAATGAATGCAGCGCTTATTTTAAAATAAAACGGATGAATCACCTTATAAATAGTGATGTCGCGAACCCGAAATTTTCGGTTCGCGAACGGCGAACGCGAACTTCCGCAAATGTTCGCGAACCGGCGAACCGCCCGAAACGCCATTGACTTCAATGGGGAGGCAAATTTTAAAACACACAGGGACTCTTTCTGGCCACAATAGGGATGGAAAAGTTGTTTCAAGGGGACTAACACCTGGACTGTGGCATGCCGGAGGGGGATCCATGGCAAAACTCCCATGGAAAATTACACAGTTGATACAGAGTCTGGTTTTAATCCATAAAGGGCAGAAATCACCTAACATTCCTAAATCACAATCAATATGGATTGACACCTGACATATGACATACTGACACCTTGACATATGGATTGACACCTGTCCTCAGAGCCCCTGATGCACACGGACACAGAGCAGAATAGAGACTGGTCCCCCTACATAGGGTCACTTGGCAGATATGGATTGACACCTGTCCTAAGGATCCCTGATACACACTGACACAGAGCAGAATAGGGACTGTTCCCCCTACATCGGGTCACTTGGCAGATATGGATTGACACCTGTCCTAAGGTTCCCTGATACACACTGACACAGAGCAGAATAGGGACTGGTCCCCCTACATCGGGTCACTTGGCAGATATGGATTGACACCTTGTTACAAACTGCTATTTGTAACGGGCCCTTTAAATGGCAAATTGCCCTGTTTCCCTGGGTTGTGGAGAAGCCTCTTTGCCAGCCTCCTCCCGCATGACTATGGCCCCTGGGAGATTGTGAAAATGTATGCACTTTTATTTGGTGTGTATGGCCCTTTAAGACTGTCGGTGGGCATATTGGGGCTTATGGACTCTTTATGTGACTGGTGCTGGCCCTTTAAACACCTTTTTTGGGACATCAGGAAGATTGGGACACTGCCCCTTTAAGGCCGTGTCCCCAGACTTGTTGGGGACACGGCCCATTTCAGACGGTGTCCCCTGTGTCCCCAGACCTGGTGCAAACCCTTGTGCCTGCCTGGCTATTTCCCACTTGGTTCAGTAAATGGGAAATTATTTCAGCTGCAGAGACTAAGTCCCATTCGGCGATGGGACTTAGTCTTTTTTTCAGCCGTTTTTTTCAGCCTTATTTCAGCTGCAGAGACTAAGTCCCATTCGCGATGGGACTTAGTCGCTTTTTCAGCCTGAAATAGACCGACCTCACAGCCCAAATCTATGGAACTGTTTCTTTGGGCAGGAAAATGTGCTCCTATCAGTGGATGTGTACACGGCATTGATTTTTATCTAAGCCGTAAACTTTTGCATAGCGAAGTAGATTCACTGCCATTAAAAAGGAGTGCATGGCGGTGGTGTGGGCCCTCAAAAAGCTGCAACCTACTTGTATGGACAACCGTTTACCTTACTCACAGATCACATTAAATTTGGGGCACTGCGCGGTCAAGCCAGGGCCGGTGCAAGGATTTTTGCCGCCCTAGGCAAATAAAAATTTGCCGCCCCCCCCCATGTCCTGCCCACCATGTAACATCACAATGCCCCGCCCATATGGGCCAATGCCAGTCTTCACAAAGTGTCTTTTATCTGAAAAGACAGTGTGTTTACATTAAAAAGCCTACAGGCACAGGCTATAGACACCAGAACCACTACATTATGCTGTAGTGCTTCTGGTGACTATAGTATCCATTTAATGTGAGATTAGTGCCACTAATAATATATTGGATTGCCTACTTACAACCAGATGAGGACAAGAGGCTGATGATGGGCTTAGTCTGGCTCCACAGGTCTGGTGTAGAAGAGGCTCTCTGGAGACTGTTTTTAACAGTGCTCACAACAATTAACGAACAGGAAGCAGCTCCATTTTTTAGGGCCCCTTACACAGCTCAAGGTCTGGGCCCCCAGGGCTTGACCATGAGTATGCCTACAATGCCCACCCATAAATACCTACATGGCCCACCCATGAGTTCTCTCACAGGAAGTGTAGTGTATGTGTGTAGGGGATGTTTTAGATGTTTTATGTGTTATTGTAGAGGATGCAATGTGTGTGTGTTCTTATAGAATGTAGTGTATAGGGATACCAATTTGTATAAGGGATGTAGTGTGTTTATAGGGGATGCAGTGTGTGTTTGCGTGTAAGGAATGCATTGTATGTTTCTGGGTGTGTGTGTGTAAGGGTGCAAGGTGTGTTTCTGTGTATTTAATTGAATGCAGTGTGTGTCTGTAAGGGGTGCATTGATTGTGTAAGAGATGCATTTTATTTCTGTGTGTAAGAGAATGAGTGTTTGTGTGAACGTAAGGGATGCATTGTGTGTTTTGGGTGTGTCTGTGTGTGAGTAGGAATGCATTGTATGTTTCTGTGTGTGTAGGGGGGGGGAATGCATTGTGTTTGTGTGTAGTGTAAAAGAGAGGGTTTGTGGGGTAGGATAGGGACTGAGAGGGGAACAGCTCTTTATTTTTTTAAAAAAAATTTCATAGTGCTCTCCCCTCCTGTCAATTATTGATTTCCCCTTCCCTCCTGTCCCTCCGTGTTCTACCCCTTCTGTCCCTTAGTGCTCTCCCTTGGCCCCCTGTCCCTCTGCAGTCCCCCCTTGGTGGTCTTCTCACTCCCCCCTCTCTCCCTTAGTGGTCCTCCATCCCTTCCCTTAGTGGTCCTCCCTCTCCCAAACCCCTTAGTAGACCTTCCCCTCCTCCCCCCACCCCTTAGTGGTAATCTCCCCCCCCCTTAGTGGTCCTTACCCTCCTCCCCTCTCCTTAGTGGTCCTCCCTCCTTACCCCCCTTTGGTGGTCCTT